TCTTACATAATCTTCTTCACCATAATAATAATATTCTCTGTTGCTGCATGGCTCCCGATACCTGCCTTGTCATCTCCAGGCCTATAACTTTTCTTCCTCCCATTTTCCTATAACAAGCCAATGAGAAGAGGAAAAAAATAAGCTATCGGCTTCTCCCCCTTTTAGATTTAGCACAAAATACTTCTTTTGAGAGCAGGCATCAGAATTTCATTTTTTTTAATATGTGCCAGTGTGTTCACAAAAAGTGACAATAAAGGTTATTTTATCTTATTTTCTACAAAGAATATCCATTGCCCCCAAGCTATCAACTTTTCTTTTACTTTTGTGGGGAAATTGTTCTCTTGATCTTCTTGCTATCTAGAGAGAACAATATTTATAGTCTGAACTATTTAAAAAGGATTCTCTGAAACATTCTAACTCCATTTTTTCTTCCTACAGAGTGTTCTTGCCTGGCATTTTTTTTGTGTGAAAAAAATGGCTAGAGATTAGTTGCTATCCTGATACTGTTCTGCTGACATAAGAATGAAAGAACAAGACATTAAAACAGCAGGTTGGAATGAGGTCTACATTGGCTCAATTGGGTCACTATTTGTGTCTCTTTAGAAAGAAGGGCCAAGAAAGACACAGAAAACTGAAATAAAAAAGCTATGTACATGTCATAGTTGGATGATGGAGGCCCCTATTATATGACATCTTGGCTCGAAGGATGTTCTTAAAATTGAAATAAGAACATTATGCACTGATCAGTGTGCTTCCTCTAATTTAAAAGAAATACTGTTCACGAGAAACAGAGCATCACATGATACTTACATTTTACTGAACAAAATTTTACTTTGTTCACCCTTTGAAGCATTCAAAACTCATTTATAAATACTTGAGGAACATCCAATTTATACAATATATGTTTAAAATCCTGTAATTGGTTTCTGCTTATGCTCATAAGGCGAAACAAAACTTAAGTATCTAAATCAGAACTGAATGTTCTGTTTAGAGGGTATGAAGGATAATTTTTATTTGAAATTGTTAGAAGGATTTTAAAAGGATTAAAACACTATATATTATATATTCCAAAACTTCATTTTAAAAAACCACAGAAAAATATCTCAGAGAGATTCAAACTGGATTAGAAGAAAAGAGAGGGAATATCTTAGTGTGATGTTTTGTTATATTTTCTCCCATTTTCAGTGATTGGGTATTTCCTATTGACTTTCACAAATGTAGCAATCACTTTCTTCTTCCATGCATTTGATCCCTCATGTGTCTTCCTCCTCATAATCATTCGGATATGTAGTTGAATTGGGGATTATAGAACATTTAATTCAGATTTGGCTATCCTGATGCTGAGCTACAAATATATTTCCTTTCTTTCCTGGAACCCTGTTTTCCCACTCTGACAACAGAAGAATTTTGTTTGAGTAAATGAAATAAGGAAACTCTTCTTCCCAAATTTAAAAACTAAAAAGCTGGGCCTTAAACACTTCGCATCTTTGCTACAACCCCTCTGGTTCTTGCCTCACTCCCAAACATATAACCACCCAAAGTCTGCCTATTTCTTCTGTTATCCAGAACTTCTAGTACATCTGGATGGCATCAGATTGGACAAAACTGTCAAAACCCAACAACAAATTTTATAATAGTTGGATTTTTTTTATTTGTGCCCATTTGGGTGCGAAGCAACCATAGATATGTGAATGACGGTTAAGGCACCAGGCTAAAAACCAGGAGACTTGAGTTCTACTCCCACCTTCGCCATGAAAGCTGGTTGGGTATCTTTGAGCCAGTCACTCTCTCTTTCTCTGCCCAACTCACCTTACAGGGTTATCGTTATATGGAAAAGAGAAGGAAGGAGTAGTAGGTATGGTCACTGCCTTGAGTTATTTATAAAAAATAATAAAGGTGGGATAACAAATAAAGAAATGTAAGAAGTCCCATTGCTTCTTACATTTAAAACTGACAGAGCTTCTTATTTTCTCTGTGACACTCTTCCACCTTAAAATGTGGGAATCTACTTGCCCTGGTATAACTTGTTGACACCAGAAAACACACACACAGTCTTGTGTCTGTATCTAGTAGTAGCACCTGGGTGGACACTGTGGGGAAAAAAATAAGGAACGAGACCATGGATGAAAAAAGGTTTAAAAACCTTGGTTTAGAAATGTAAGTGGTCAGCAGGTTATGAGAGCAACTGAGACTGAAATTTCCATTGCTACATAATGTGATTGTAAAGTAAAATGTCACATGATGCATCATTTAGTGATGGAAATACCAGCAGTCCTGGTTGCCATCGTAATTTCAATTAATGAGGTTTTAAATGAGCACATGGGAAGTGATTAGAGTCCCAGACAAATAGGCTGTCAGGTGGGAGCATGGAGGACATCAGTGGATACTACAAAGCACATGAAGTGAGCTGATGTGCAGGCAGGAAGGTGTTGTAGGAGTGTCCTATAAAAAACAGGCATAAAAATTACTACAAAGAGTGGGTCAGCAAGTAGCAAGGAGAAGGAGAAGCTTGCAACCTACAGCCAGCTTTCCCATTGACTTTGTTTGTGGGAAAGGGAAGGTTGCAAATGAATATTATGTAATACTACAATGGCTGCAACTTCCTGGAGTGGTCATAAGTCCCTTTCTTTCAGTGCCATTGTAACTTTCAATGGTTGCTGAATGGATGATTGTAACCTAAGTTGTATCTGTAGTTTGTGCATTACACAATGACTATATTTTTTGCAGATACTCAGCTGATGATTACACTGTTGTTTAATTTCAAAATATTCATCTGCTGTTTTGCTTTTTGTTGTGAATGCCTCTCAGTGATAGGTAGCCCTTGAATTATGATCATTTGTTTAGCAATCATTCAAAGTTACAATAGCACTGAAAAAAGTGCCTTACAATCAGTCCTTGCACTTATGACTGTTGCAGCATCCATGCAGTCAAATAAAAATTAAGGCACTTGTCAACTAGTATGTATTTATGATGATTGCAGTATGCCAGGATTATGTATGCAAGTTGTCATTTGTGACTTTCCCTGCTGGCTTTCCACCTACTAAGTCAATCCAGAAGCCAGATTAACTTAAATGACAATGTGATTTATTTAACTGCAGGGATTCATCAAACAACTATGGCAAGAACGCCATAAAATAGGGTATGATATCATATTAATGACCCTCTTGCTTAGTGATGGAAGTTCTGGTCACAACTGTGGAAATAAATCAAGGACTACTTCTAACAAGGAATATAAATGCTACTGTGTTCTATGCATAAGCCTATACTTGGATGATTTCCCAAGTACTAAGGAACTGTTGTGTTCCACTTATTTGGTATTGAATCAAAGTTTGCTTTATTGTAACCAATAACAAAATAAGAGGACTAGTTATTGGTGTGCTGTGTTATTTAGTGAGACACTACCCTCCTAAAGGTCCCAGAAAGGATAATATCTCTCTGAAAGCTGTGCTAGTGTGAGGTATAGCCATTGACTATACTGTAGCTATATCTCCAGAAATCCCAAAAGATTATTGAGAAACAGGGCAAATGAACAAAGATCAGGTGAAGTGTTAGTATTGCTTTATAATCCTTTTTAAGATCTCACTTGGAATACGGCATCCAGTTTTGGTCATGTTTCAAAAAATGTTAAGACTCTAGAAAGAGTACAGAGAAAAGAGCAACAAAAAGGACTTGAACACTATGAAGAATGCTTGCAGGAACTTTCTGGTGTCTAACAAAAACCAGGTGTGCGATGATAGCAATCTTCCTGTATCTAAGGGGCTATCACAAAGAAGAGGGGGTCAACCTACTCTCCAAAGCACTTGAGGACAGGAGAAGTAACAGTTGGAAACTTATAAAAGAAAGATCCAACCTAGAACTAAGAAGTTTCCTAACAGTATGAAGGCTTGCTTCCAGAAGTTGTGGTGCTCCATCGCTATAGGTTTTTAAGAAAAGATTGGAATCTCCTGCTTGGGCAGGGATTGGACCAAAAGACCTTCCAACTCTGTTGTTGTTCCGTTAAATTGATCAGGAAAAGTGCACCTTTTCTACGACCGCCTGTGCTTTTATATCACATAGTTATAATTCTTAGCCCCAAATGTTAAAGTTGTCGCAATTTTCCAGCTTCCCCTTAGTGAAACGTACGTGTCAAGAGCCTGCGCTGCAATCGGCTGGCTGCGTGCCTACTGCCAGAGCCGCCTTTGGTTTAAAAGGAAGGGGCGGGACAAGCGAGAGGACTGTTTTACGGCACCCCTTTTCCAAGTAAGGTGGCGTCGTGCTACCTCCCAGTTTTTGGAAGTTGTAGTTTCCACAGAAAACCCTCTAACTGCCAAGCCAAGGAGATGTTATTGAACGAAGCAATATCTAAAATGCATGTGTTTGTTGGGAGAGTTACCGTGCTTGGTCTTCAGTGCTGACGCAGGCAGATCATGCATTACTAAGTCTCCCATAACGTGTTTTACAACAATCCTCAAATGGAAAATCCAGGCACCTAGAGGCCACAATTGGAAGAGAATTGCATTGCTATACCGTTGCTCAAGGTCGGGGACAGAAACGTTACCCTTCTAAAGTGAACTAATTGACCAGCGTTGCGTAGCAGCCCCTTCTTAAAGCATTCGAGAAATCGATTTCTACTTCTGGCGACTGCTTGGGCATATCTATTTATGTTGGCTACAGAAGAGATGGCCTTTGCCCCTGCCCTTTTTCAGGATTTTCTTCATTAGTGGTATCGTACTTGTGGGTTTCCCCATACTCACCCGTCCGAGTAATAACCAGGTTCGAAAGCATTTAGCAACCGAGTGTATTTGAGCAGTCGATAAAATTAAATAAAATAAAATATTTACCTTACACCGAAATCTTTTAAGTGCTCCCCCAGCTAAAAGCTCAATTCAAGTCAAGTTCGGGCTCTTCCTCCCACTCTCTCTGAATGGACTACTAGAGCGATCATTTATCGCTTTCCTAAATGACAATTGCTCCCTTGCCCAGAAGATGGCGCTCACGGGGGTTAGCCAGGCCCTGCCGCACCTTTAAGCAATCACAGAGGAAGGAAGTGTCCAACACTGTCTCCTGCTCTTCCTCTCCCCCTCCCGACCGCCGGAGAAAAGAATGAGAGAGAATGAGCTGGAAAGATACCGCGATCCATTTATTTGCTGGAGGGTAGGTAGAATTGAGGCAGGTTTGGGCCCTGGGGTGGGACGTCAGACGGGAAAACGTGCGGGCACCTAAGCGTTCTGGCCGGCTGTGATGCTGGACAGAAAGAGGGAGGGTTTCCCTGGTTCGCCCAAACTAGTCAGCGGCTAAAGGGGACGGTAATATGAAAAACTTACAGCTGAAGCTGTAAGCTCTGCGAGAGATTTCTCCGGATTTTGCAGAAATTCCTTGGGTGGAAGCAGGCCTCCTGTTTGCAGTTCCCGTAGAAATGGCTTCCCGAGAGTTAGAAGCATCTGCTTGCTGGCCAGGGTGTGGGGCCTGCCCGTGGAGGCAGCCCAGATGAATGCAGGAGGCCTAAGCAAGTTGACTCTGATGTAAAGCTAGAATATGGGGAAAGGAATTGTCTGCGAATTGGACGGTAGGATTTAAGGCCAGAAAAATAAGGGTATATAAGGAATTATCTTCTGGCTCTGACTAATGAAATTGGCCCTGTGCAAGATTTGGATTTTGGAGGGGGAGGATGTTTCCTTTTTCGGTTTCTTCTGTTTCTTTTCATTGGAAGGCAGGAGTCACTCTTTGGAAGTTGCTTATGGTTCAGTATCAATCCTGTGTCATTTTTTTTTGCAACAATGTTCTTAAAACCATAAACAAAATAGGCATTCTTATATAATGGTATTCAGCTGAATAATTTTTCAACTAAAATAATTTTTGAACTAAAGAAACTGATTTTAAACTAAAAATACAAGATACAAGTGTCATCAAGACACACGATGCTATATTCTGGAGATGTCATTTATGTCATATCACTGCTTATTCATTAACAAATTCAAACTGAATAATATATACATAGCATAGCAGGACAATTTTGGGTGGGGTTGACACATGCACTAAGCCATGAATTGTTGAATAAATCAGTATGTTGCCTTGAGTTTCTGAATGAAAGGTAGGTTATAAATCAAACATAAAATGACTCAGCAAACAATATTGAATTAATCTGTTTTATAGTTAATCCATTTTTAGCAGGATACAAAAATGCTAAAACCACAGATTTAATAATTTTTATGAAGTTTTATTCTTAATTGAAACAATAGGTTTAGGCAAACTTATCAAAACAGGATGTAACTTTTTATCAATTGAATACTTATACATGTCCACATTTTTGTACTTGTATTAGGCATTGCATCTAAATATGTAAGGGGCATATTTGGTTATACAGTGGTGTATTCATCTTGGTTCACTTAACCCAGATGTTGCCAAAATATGGTTTACCAGTTATACTCTGCTGCTGAAAATAGCCTTTTGTTCATTCATGGAGGATTATGGGCTGCTAAAGCTTAAAGCAATAAACAGCCAACAGCTTAATATATTGTGAAAGGTTTGAAATCAACATAAATTAAACACTGAATATTGCAACATTGTTTTCAAGCCTTTTTAAGATCAAATGATCTGATATGAATTCAGGTGCTTCTGAATTCAGTATGTATTAATTACACATGTCCATTTAGTATGATCAGGCCTTGGGATGTTTTCACTCTGTGGAAAATATTGATCCTAGCATTTTAGAAATAACAGGTAAACAATCTGCATAAAGTATTTAAAGGCACTGGATGATTATATATTTTTACACATATGTTGCTACAAATATAATGCAAAAATGCCTCAGCAGTCTTTTATAATAAATTCCCCATTTGCAGATGGGGGGAAATGTAATCTTGTTGCAGAATAACTGAACCTGTATTTGATCCTTTTAAACCAAGTTGGACTTTTTCCATATTTGCACTTCAAATAACCACAAAAAAGAGAGTAAAGTCACAAAAGTATGTTCAGGAGAAGTAGTTGTTGCTGCAATACAGGAAAGAGAAAGCTTTTCAGGTATTTTCAATTGCACCCTTATCTAGGTGTGCTAGGAATGTAAAGTTCTGTTGATTCAGGGAGAATTAGATAATGTTTTAACACTATCCAATTTGTATCTTATACTAAAATAGTATTCAGAGTTTCTTTGTTTAAAAAGTGAGATACCGTCCATTTAAATTCTCAAGGTAGCATAAACTTTGAAAGGAAAGATATTAGTACTAATGCAGTTCAGTAAATTGTCAAGATATCTGAAAAAAAAATGCAGAAAGTAGCAAACAGTATAATCAAATCAAGCTTTTTTAAATAAGGTAAAGCTTTAAAAAAAACCATAGAACTGTATTCCTTAACATCCAACAATATTATGTGAGTAGTTGTTATCCAGCACATCTGAAAGTGCTGGGCTAGAGAAGGCTACTTACACAGAAGGAAGATCCATTGGGTTTATTCTGCTCACTTCCAGCAGTTCACAAAAATTGGCTGTTAATGGATCTGACTTGAGGGCCTAGTCTGCTAAGTTCCTTAGTGCTTATGCAATCATTTCCAAATAATGTCTAATCCTCTTGATCAGGGGTGTCAAACTCGAGCATAGTGACTTTTTTCCCCTTTGCTAAAATGGGAGTGGGCGTGGCCAGCACACAATGCATCTGGCCCACGGGCCATGAGTTTGACACCCCTGCTCTTGATAATTGGGATTGGGGAATGATAGAATTTTTCCAAAGCTGATGGCCATGCATTTTTTAAAAAAACTAATAACTAATATACTAATAACTAATATCCATTGAAGAGATGGGTAGAGGGAGAGAATCTTGTAACAAACTAGAAATGTACAACTATTGTAAGGGAAATATAGAAAGGTCCTGGAGCTAAATTACATAAACAAGTTGATAAGGAATAATTACAATCTGAGATGTTGAGTTCCATAGGGATGAGGAAGGATAATCAGTATGTAAAGGAGATATTTGTAAAGCAGAGTATCATCTATGTCTTGTGTTCTTTCAAAATTAGTAAAATTGATGGGAGTATAGCAGGGACTAGAATTGTGAACATACATGGGAGAGATATTGATTCCATATTATGTACTATTTAAAAAATTTAAAAATCCACCCAAACAATGGTGTAGTTGGAACCATTGGATATTGTTTGAGGCCATCACTACCTGTTTGATCAATATATATATCCAACTATCTTTGCCCAATAGATTCAGAAAATTAGATGAACTAAATATCATGGTTCTGCTAGCTGTGGAAAACAGGTTGTGCAAAACTTATCTTACTTCATAACTTTTTAATACTTCATAACTTTTTTTAAAAATTGAGACGGATATGAATCTCTCTCACGAGAGGAATGAATAGCTCCAATGCCCTTTTTTCCCCCACCCGCGAGAAACAATGTGAAAAAAGTCTCTACACTCCTCTGCTGCTTGCAAACGTGCATCTGTAAGTCACTCTAATGTATATTTACGCGGAAGTGAAAGCCAACGACTTCAAGGGGCCTTGATCCCAAGAAAATAAAAAGAAATGCGGAAGCATGCGCTTCCCAGGCAAACTAGAGATGCAGCGCCTCTTGCTCGCTATCCCGGCGTAATTGACTTAGGAGGTTTTATTGTTTTGGTTTGGTGTTTTTTGGGGGGGGGGGGGGGGGGGGGTTCTCGTGTTTTGCATCAGTATACAGTTCAGGACGTAGTCACGTGCACAAAGCCAGCACAACTTCAGCCGGTGATGTCACGGTCGTTCGTGAGCCAATGGCCGTGTCTGTTTATATTGGGCTTCGTTTCGCCTTGGAAGCGAGAGGCTAGGCGGTTGCGCTTTTGCCTGCTTGGCTGGTGCTGCTCTTGCCTCTCCTGTTGGGACCGGAGTTTCTCTTAAGATTAAGGCGTCTCTGAGGAAGCGGCGTCACGGCTTCCGAGTTTATGCTCATCGCAGTTCAGATTAACAAGAAAGCGGAGTGGGAAAAGCCTCTCCCGTTCGGTCTGTCTTCTAGCTTAAGCGGGATAAGAATGAAAATATGAGCCAGAGAGACATTTGCGTACATCTCTTTGCTGGAGGGTAGGTGAAATATTATGATAACCTCCCTTCCTTCCTGCCTTGAAATTTATCGACTGACTGCTCCATAGACAAAACTTCTGTGTGTCGTACGACATTTAATTGCTGGAGCGTGTGGAAGCGTGTTATAGACAGGCATTTTTTTCTCTCAAAATAGAATGGAAGTTTGTGGGAATTAAAACCAAAAGAAATTTCGGACTGACTTTCAACCCTTTTTAAGTCACCCTGCACTAATTCACATTAGGTAATACAGGTTTTTACTACTATTTCACAGAGATTTAAAATAAAATGGTGTGATACATATGTAACATTCATGTTGTGTGCTGCAGGGAAGAAAGTTAAAACTTCAGTTTGTTTGTGCAGAGGTTATGATCTTGAATTGACTAGTTTTCTCCCTATTGCAATTCTTTATTTTTCTTCATCAATTATTGTTGGGGGCTGGAGTATGTTGTTCTAACTTGCAAACAGATGTACACTAGGAAGTTATTTGAATGTATAAAAATTACTTCTTTTGGATAACATTGATTTCTTGAAATATACAGTCAATCAGATAATCCACTGCAGTGTAGTAGGTGCATTTTCTTTCTGTAGTATCTTCAAGCTGATCCAGAGACAACTGGTTCTAACACTGCTCTTGTTTATAGACCTTGTATAAATAAGAAATAGATAATATACTCCAACAATTTGGCTTGTAATCTTATATCATTTATCAGATATACAGCCCATTTAGTCTAGCTGAAATACCAAATACTAGAGGGTAGTTTTATGTATGTATATGTAAAAAGGCAATTGAATGAAAAATTATGACCATATACACTTGTTTTTATTTTTCAAAGAAGGGCTTTGCAGATTTGGTGCAGTCCTGAACATTTCAAGGAAACTGTCAAATGACATTGTTAATATATGGCGAAACAAGTCCCACTGACCTCAGTGGGACTAAAGCTTCACTGATAATATTCCAGTAATGAAATTAAATTTCGCCATTCTTCTGCAACTTTCAGAATATTTCCAGGTCTGTTACATGACACACATATTCATGATTTACTTAAGCTGATTTTCTGAACCTTGGTTTATTTAACTAAATTTTCCAAGTTAAAAGAATGAATTGATCTATTAGCTTAGCAAATGCATGGTGAGTTTATACACAACAGACAAAACTAATATATGGCTGGCTAGTTTACTGTTCATTGTGTTGCAAAAAACAGTCAAAATGTGCCCTGAAATGTTGAGCTGCCCAGAATATATTTTAGTTGGTCATGAGAATATCCAAGATAAAGGAAGTGGTTTCCTTATACAAAGCAAAATTAAATTCCATCCATAAATATAACTTTCCCTGAAAGAATTTTGTGATGCCTCATGTAATAAAAATTCTGGATTTATATAGGGCTTGCAGGCAAAATAGGTAGATCCAGACAACTGAAAGAAAATTGGGAAGAGTTAGATTTCTGTGCTGCTATTTAGTGATAAATGGATTTTGATCCTGATTTTGTAGTATTACCAGAAAAGTCTTAGAGCATAAAAATATTCTTTGGTGCAATGTAGCTGTATGTTTTGAAATTAAATACTTATTTTTTGAGGTTAGGAACAGAGCGTGGAACCAAATAGTGCAAAAGATAATGTATCTGAATCAGACAAGGGCTATAAATAGGATAATTGAACATAAATAATTGTTCTCTGCCATTATTGTGGCTGGTATGGGAATCTTTCTAGATTATTTGATTCAAAATATCTGTAGGATGTTTTTGTTTATTTAGAGGAGGATATTGTGGCATTGTATATCAAAGCTATGATATTGTAGAATTCGTTTTCTTCAAAAATTTGAAATATTCTGCTAGTTTCTAAATTATCAAATTCCACATGCTATTGAATTGAGGCCTCTGAATTTCAAGCTTTTGTTTCAAATTACAAACCTACATGTTAAATTCTTTTTCTTTTCACCCAGATTTACCAATTAGTTTTTCATTTCTGAATGATCTCTGTCCCAAAGGTGCTTTTCAGAAGGCAACTGGACTTTTTTGTTTTTTTCTTTGAAGACATTTCTCTTCTCATCTAAGAAGCTTCTTCAGCTCTGACAGGATAATGGGAAATGGAAGGATTTATATTCCTTGCAGACAGCTGATCATTTGCTGCCTGAAAGGAATATAAATCCTTCCATTCCACACTATCCTATCAAAGCTGAAGAAGCTTCTAGGATGAGAAGCTAATCGTCTTCAAAGAAAAAAAAGGGGGGGGGGAACAAGAAAATCTAGTTGCCTCCTGAAAAAGCACCTTTGGGACAACCGTGACCTGGATGACTGAGAATCTCTACTGATTGCTTTCTGGTTTGTAGTTGCATGTTTGGAGATGGTCTACATGGACAGTCAATAATTCTTTTAGGAATTTGATTGTTTCATTCTGTCTGTCATGTCATCCGGGGCAAGGAAAGGCAAGTGAGGAAGCATGTATTGCAACATGACGATGCACATTTGTCCCTTACATATTTATGCATCATATCATTATGCAAGTATAACACAACACTCTTTTTGACATCATTATGGACACCCCCAGTTACACTATTTTCCCCAGTGTTCTTATACTTCTTAATTCAGTAGTATTTTTTTCTTGCGGACAAAGACCCCATATATAACAGAGGCATATGCTTTCTCAAAACTTATAATTTTTCTTTTTATTCTGGGTTGTTTCCTATGGTAGGATTTATATTTCTGCTTCCAATTCTCAGAAAGTTGGTCAAAGTTCATACTGTACAGAAGGTATGTTACAGACCTTGACTGCTTTGTTATTAGAGTAGTTGAAGGCTTCTGCCTAATCCCTCAGTCAGCAAAATACAAAAAATATGTGTTCGTGTGCAGAGCAGGGTGAAAGTAGCTTAGAGTTATCAGTCCCAAGTATTTTTATTACTAGCAGCCAGCAAAAGTTCTTTTAGTTTTTAGTCCTCTAGTTTTTATTTTGCTGTAGCATAAAGTCAAAATATGCCATTTTTACTGCTTTACAAAACTATCTTAACGGGGAAAAAGCATGTTCTAAAGAAAGAAAGGAGTTACCAAAATCAAAACAGTAGAATAGATAGCAGGGGGCAAATTAACAGTATATATTTACAACAGAAGTTAATCAAATTTAAGCAAGAATGATTCCCATATATGCAGTATTGCAAATGTATATATACATTTTCACTTTGGCTTCTAAAAGGGCATAAATCTTTATAAATAAAGTAAGTTAGCAGAAGCTGAAAATGGGTAGTTAGAAAACAAGCAGCCTCTCGTCTCTTTTTTATTTTTAGTTAGTGTCAAATTTGCTTTATTTTTTTCAATACAGACAAATAAGTGGCATTACAGTGGAAACTAACGTAAGACAGAAGCCCATTTGGTGCAACAAATAGTTGATTAAATTTGTAGCAGTTTTTAATGTTATATTTAGTTCTGGATACGAAGGTAAATAATCTCATGTCTATTAACACCGACATGATAGTTAATACTGACGTAATACTTTCCTTTTTGTATCTTTAATGGTTTAAGTTATCTAACCTTAGAGTACTAAGATTATTTAGTTAGTACGGTAAAAATGCCATTATGTCAAATAATGTAATCTATTATGTTAATAAATAAAAGTGCATTAGTTGCATAAATAAAAGTGGTAAACTTCTTATAGGCAAGTTCTTCTGTAGTTCAACTTATCATGTAAAGTTAATGAAATTTGAAAACATCTCAATTTGATTTCAAATTCATCCTACTACCAAATGTTAGAAAATAAATATGTGCATTGTATCAAAACATGTTTGTTTTGAAAGATTCCTCTATTAAACTTACTGAATGGGGATTTGAAATTGGGTGTCTCCAATCCTAATTGGAACTTTGGCCAATTTACCAGCCTATCTATGTCAAGATTCCAAGCTTGAGTTTGAAATACACCTTAATGAAAGTTACTTATTAAAATAAAAATAGTAATATTCAAAAATTTGTTTATTTGCAATTTATACTTTTTTCCTACTTAAAAAATGCTCAGAGCGCTAAAAACCATGGTAAAAATTAGTAGTTAAATTATATGCTATAAATGCAGGTGCCCTCTACTTTGCTGTTATTGATACACTAGTACTAGTGCGATTGATTCAAATACAAAGGTAAAAGTGATTCCTTTTTAAGAAAAGGTAAGTGTTCTTCAATATATTTCCACTTGAATCTTTATTTGCCATTTTTAGAAACCAAATGTGAAATTGGGCTTCTTTAAATTTATTGATAGTAATTCTTGCTACATATTTTCAAAGGTTCTGACAGAAAATCTACATGTTGTAGATAACTGAGTAGTTATGCAATATTGAAAGAAGATAACTCATTGTATTTGCTTATTTAAAAGTGATATTTTGCGAGTGGAAATAATTGTTTATAAATGCAGAAAAAGCATAAATCCTTTCTGTAATGAAAGAGTTATTATACAAATTTAATATATATCATCTTTGTTTAACAAGTCATATTTGTAAAAAAAAGGAACCCAGTCATGCAGTACTTGTGATAAACACATGAGATTATTTATGGAAATCACCAGTTTCCATTCATGAGAAAATTAAGTTAAATATATTCCTGTTTCTTTTCCTGTGTTTCTAGAAATAGTTTAGTAAATAAACTAAGATTTTTTTTAAAAAAAGAAAGCATATTGAACATGAAGTCTCACATTTAAAAACCTGCATTTGTCAATTTTTGTACTTGGCAGCTTAACATGTCTTTTAGAACTCTGTTGATATACTATTTACTCACTTAGACTGAACTTTATTTAGAAGGAACACACAAATGGCTAATTTGGTTCTGGGCATTACAGTTATAGTATATATATATATAGTGGACATTTTATATGAATATATACATACTCATACAAAGAAAATAAATTCTTTATTCTGATACCAAATAAAAGAACATTCAGTTTTCCTGATGTATCTTCTCACAGGTTTACTGCATATCATCATAGTATAGGAAACTATATTACCATCGGTCAGTCATTTTATCAATCTGGATGTGTATTGAGTTTTCTGAGAGTGCTCACAGAAATTGGAAATGTAGGAATATTTCACCAGACTAGAAGCCCAGAGATCCCCTTAAGTCTTCTTTAAGGGAAGAACAAAACGGAAATCATTGTTTTGGCTAAAGTAAGCCAGGATTTGTGCAAAAAAATATATAGAGAGAGGTGTGAATGCTGGTTAGTGAAGCTAATTTTGGAATTTTGCTGTGGACGAATTCTGATTCAGAGAATTGATTATGTATTGATTATATGGTTGCCAACTATTTCCATCTTTCTTTCCAGAGTTGAATCTGAGAAAATGGTGAAAATTGCTGCTCAATAACTAAAACAATCCCTATTCAGTTTTAGACGTTCAAAATAAAAATGTAGTGATGTGCAGGAAGTCTTGCAGGGCAGATTGTAATAGTTGATAATATGTCTATAATTGTTCTTTCAACAGGTTTCAATATAAGAGGTGTGAATAACATTAAGCTTTTTGAAAAATTAATATGACATTCTAAGGTGCAGAGATTAATGATTCAATTCAATTCTAATGTTCTTTCCTATTCTAGAAAGTACAAAAAGTGAAATGAACATAAATATATGCCAGTTTTAAAAAAATTGGATGATTTATTCTATTTTTTATTTTAAATTGTAACTGGATAAAATAGGTTTAGGAGTATTTTTCCCCATCTCTAATATGCTCCCATGGAAAAGCTTGTTTCCAGAAATCTCAATAGCATCCTCCCCTGAAGACAAAACTGTTTCAGAGATTTTGATGGATGAGAGGTTGATGTGGACTACAAGTTTGCATGAAGTATAATAGAATTGATCATATGATTTGATATAGTTATATAAATTTCTTTTGAGTTTTGGAAGTTAGTAGAAATTATGTAAAACAAAGAAGTAACATTTTTACAACTATAGCATCTAAATTAATAGTCTTATTTAGCTGAGGCTGAGAAAACGTACGTTTGAGCTTGAGCTAGATTTCCTATTGAATATTACTAGTCTTTTTAGTGACAATTATAAGACTATTAAGAAGGAGAGATATAAAATTGAATTTTTATGAAAGGAATATATATCTCAATGAGATAATCCCAATTTTTTTCTTTACAGATGTGGAGGCACAGTAGCTGCAATCCTGACATGTCCACTAGAAGTTCTGAAAACACGATTGCAATCTTCATCTATTACTCTCTACATTTCTGAAGTTCAGCTGAATACTGTGAATGGTGCAAGTGTTAATCGAGTTTCTCCACGGGCTTTCCATTGCTTTAAGTGAGCACCTATTTCTTCCTACTTCTGTGTATAATAAGGATTTAAGTTACCGTATTTGCCGGCGTATAAGACGACTTTTTTGCCCCAAAAAACATGCCTCCAAGTGGGGGGGTCGTCTTATACGCCGGTATATCCACTGCCGGCTTTCGGATGCTTGTTGGACGCAGCGAAGGCGCCTCTGGCTTCCTAGATCCCCTGCGTCGCTTCCGCTTCATCCCGCTCGCCTCGCTCCGCCCGAGGCTGCAGCCTTCCTGTTCTTCCCACGGCCCCTGGCACTCTGCCCTGCCGCTGCAGCCCTGGGGATTTCTGGAGGGCGTTTCCGGTGGTGGTGGGGGGTCGTCTTATACGCCGGGTCGTCTTATACGCCGGCAAATACGGTAAGTAAGGAATATTTGATAGAGAACAAGTTTAGGTGACCTGTTTTATAGAGCAGGAGTCGCCAACCTTTTGGACCTCAGGGACCACCAAACTCATACTTTTAAATCCCGAGGGCCACTAATACGAATTATTTAAAAAGATAATATATTTAATATAAAATAATATAAAATATTTATTTTTTATATTTCATATAAATTTAATATTATATTTAATAATTTAAGTTTAAATAAATTTAATAATATATAAGTAAAAAAGCAGAGCCATCTCATATCTCCCCCAAGTCAGAGGAAACCTCTCTCCTTTGCCAGGTTTGCCACTGTTATAGAGTATAGACATGGAATTTCACTTTGAATAGCATCACCTCTTACTATTACATAAATTCATTTTAAGTATCTTACAAGAATAAATTCTAAAAGGACAATTAAAATAAAATGTATTCTCAAGTTAAGTTCAGCTGTCCATATTATCATCTTTATCTTGGTACCTATTCCTTTCGTTTGCAAAGTAGAGTTTCACAAGTTTTTGATAATATGGTTAATATTCACTTGTTGAAATCTTGTGCACAATTATTTCTTCAATCATAAGAATTACTTCTGTTTTATTTATTCCCATGGTATATGTCAAAGCCAGAAGCTAAAGACTTTGGAAAACTAGCCAGCATTATCCTTTATTTAGGATAAGTGATCTAACTGAACTAGAATGTGTACTGCCAGCCAAAAACCATCTATCTTGCTCTTGCTGAATGAATACTTAAAGGAAAGCTCTTTGATTACATACATACACACACACACACACACACACACACACACACACACACACACACACATATATCAGACGTTGTGGATGTCAGCAATTAGTTTAATAACTAGAAACAATCTGATATTTCTAAAAATGTTCTTTTTCCTCAACTACAAGTTTTATTTCTGTTGTTAAAATGTGTAATTATTTTGGCTTGTTCCTAAATTCATTTGGTACACATTTTAGCTGCAGCCAATATGTCTCAACCTGGAGATTGGAGATAGCCTTGTTAAGGTTTTTAAAAAAACAGTCATTGGCTTTTTAAACTGTTTGAATCCTGATTATCCACCATGAGTAGGGAGATTTAAAAGTATTTTGAAAGGATCTTTCACACTGGCAGAATGTGAATAAAAAGGATTTCTTTCTGTCTGTATTCAAATGGACATAATACAGGGCCTCCTTCAGATATTTTCCCACAATTTTAAAAAGCCAATGACTTAATGAGTGGAAATTTTGGGAAGTGGAGTTGGGTTTGCATGTATGTCAATGTTCCTGTTCAGTCATTACTTCAGTAGACTGAGTCTACTAATAAAAGCAATAATGATTTACCATTTGATGCAATGAAGTTCACAATCCATAAATGATTGCCAGCTTTCTGTAACTAGCAAAGATAGTTCAGTTAAGCTAGGAATTAATTGTTATATTGGGCATTATTTTGAAGTTTCCCAAAATTCCTCACACACTGCAGTTTGAAAAAACTTTCAGATAAATTATATTTAGTTTGAGAGAAATGCATGTGAAGCATCAACTACAGTTAAATTAACAGCAGAAAATTTATATTCTTGTTGATCTTGCTTGTCTTGTGTACTGATACACCTGATGGCTAAGATTGCAAAATCATACCTTAACTCTCTAAATAATTAAAGGTACATGATCATTCAGGAATGCAGTTGCACAACATATTTCAGAGCTCTGAATTTTCTTCAGGTGGATTAAAAGCATTGCAGGAACCAAATTTGTTTATAAGCAATTCTTATAAGAGAAACTTCATATTTTGACTGTACAATTGGAGGAGAAATTTGGAGGATCATTATTTTCAATGTTGTTACCAAGAATAAATATTGACATTTGAAACTACTATAATTTATTGCATAATGCTGTTGGGCTGTATGTTTAAACAGTTACAACTGAGTTTTTTTTTTAAAAAAAATACTGTTTGCAGTTTGCTCAATCTTCATGTCATCAACCTGTATTTCTATTTGTACAAGAAATACTTTAAAGACATTCTGATAATACAGAACACTATTGGTAAATATGCTGCGGTATATAGCATGTTGATATTAGATAATGTTAATTTTGAGAGTTTTATAAACTAGCTCTGAAAATATTCAGAAACACAGTATTTTAACAATTGAAACTAACACTTCAGTGTTAGATGACACTGTGTGGGTCACCAGTAATAATTAGAAAATATTAAAAGATATTCTTTACAAAGACCACTGTTGCAAGCAAAGTTGAAACATTTGGCCAATTGTCTCCTGCAAAATATAAGTGAAGCTGGTCCAGGAAATTTCCTAGCTTACAAGATAATTGGTAATAATTATCTATAGTAGAATATTTCTTCTGTGGCATTTTCTGAAAACTTGGACCACATTGCTTATATGCATGCTTGTCTGTGGTCAATGAGATTACAGAGACAAAATTAAAACTAGAGAATATGTGTTTTAACTGCTACAGAATACTTGATACTTCAGATTCAGACTTGCAGCAATTTTTTCATCTAACTGGATCTTGGACACACTTAGAACATGGAATCCTAGGTCTAAAGCTCAGCAGACTGATTTTAAAGGAAAATATATTAAAATAGTGATTCTCTTCAGTCATCCTAGCTGATATGATTTAACTGATATTCTCAGGCTTTTCATTACACTAGATGTGGCACATAACTATTAATTTGTTCTTAATTCCTGGCAGGTGCTTATTGCTTTGCTTGCTTTTAGGACCACACCATATGGTGGCTCATGGCTTATAGTTTTTGTTGAGAAATGTTGTGTGAACTGCATTTCGATTAACTATAGTATCCTAAAATCTTTCTCTTATTCTCTTTGGTAAAATATTATATTCTTGGGAGACAGATAGCCCCACACCATTTCTCTATATCATATAATTACAGAAAGTTGAGGTAAAAAACGTAGTTGCCAGAGACAAGCAATGCTAGTTTTGTAACATCACAGCTTCTGCTTGGATCACTGCCATTCTGAAGTGGCATATTCCATATAGGAACCACAACATTTGTATGACAGATATTCTGTAAACTGGGTTAACTGGAATCTCTCCATCTGATCTTAAATCTATGGTATCATATATGTATTTCTTTCACAGGATGATCTTACAAAATGAAGGTCCCCGGTCATTTTTCAGAGGACTAGGTCCTAACTTGGTAGGCGTGGCTCCATCCAGGTAAACTGAAAAAAAATATTTAATTGGCTTATTTCATCTGATAATATAAATTTATAAAGCTTTTCATTATTTTAAAGTCACTGGGCATTCCTTGTTGGGAAGCTATTTCTCTATCCTTATTATCACTATTCAGTGATAATTATTGAACTTTTAATATAAGTATGACGCAAACTATACTTTTAATATTTATAGTCATCTTATGAATCCTGGCAAAAATGCTAACCATGTAAACTTGCATCATACTCTCAAGTTAAAATACACTATAATGGAAACCATATAAACAATAATACGTGCTATTGTATTTTTTTCTAATTTGGGAATTGAAATTTTCTGTAAACAAATGTCATTAAGTCTTGCAACTATATAACTCAGATATATACGTAAATATCTACCTGTACAGTTAATTTTAATTTTACACTGCGTAGTAAAATAGGTACATGCCATTTTATTTAGGACAATTTTAGTAAACTTTTGTTTCATGAAATCAGAATATCAGTTCCCTGTAATTCACATTGTACAAAATAAGATCAGATCTATAGAGTGATAGTCAATATAGGATTTGTGTAGATATTAAGTTCATTATTCCTCTATAGAAGATGAATGAGTGGAATGAACTATGAACAACAAACAGTTTATAATGGCAGAGGAGAAAGCATGCTAAGAAACAATTCTTTGAATGAATCATATGGCTGCCTGCTCAGTTTTGGAATGCCTTGTATAGCATCCTAAAATGGATTATCCTCTGAGTTAACTTCAGTCATTGTTTGCAGGAAATAAGAGACTTGAATTATTCAGGCACGTCTAATTTGCAACTTATCCACTTGTCTAAAAGCTTTGAGACACCAAGAGTTGATTCAACATGATTCCTTTTAGATGCTTGCATTGGAGACAATATTAGTTTAGTCTTATTATGAATATGGTTGTGTACTTATGGTTCTCATAATCATATGAAGTACTGCTTAGTTTTGTAGTATCATAAGCTGCCATCACATTAATAAAAATTATATACACTTGACAGATTTAAGTTCACCATGTCTTCTCATTGTGTGTATATGTTTAATAAAGATTTCACTATAGTATTAAAGTTGCAAATTTGGCTATTACTATCTGTGAATGAATTTTAAAAGAAATGTAAATCTAACCCATGAATAAGTCAGGACTTATTAATTAAATTTTCTAATTAGCAGTTAGTTTATATAATCCATTATTCACTGCATTGAAGAAAAAAGTAGGCAAAAATAATCCTTTATATAATCTTTTATGTAAACATAAGGAAAATACAACACTTTAATAGAATATCAAAAATAGGAATCAAAAGGTTGGAGAGAAATGGGAATTAGCCTGAAAAATATATTATCTAGTTTGTATGTTTCTCTCACCTTTGAATAAAAATATAATTTTGGACTTCTTTCAATTTTTGTATTATGCTTGTCCATTTGTTTATGTATTCTTGGGGTTATGAATAAATTCTAATGCTTTTCTTTTCAAGTCATCAACTTTGGACAAATACATTATGTTTTGTTTAAACATTGCTGAGTAGCTTTAACAGCACTTCTCTATTTAAATAAGACATAATGAGGCCTGTTTTATAACATATATAGCATACACCACTGATTTCAAATTCCCCGTTGCTAACTACATCACGTAAAACAACCACTTTATCACATTTTGTGAAAGGCAACATGTTTGCAAAGTTAATGGCATTAACTAATGTTCTGACGTGTGAATTAATTTATTCAGATCACAACCTCTGTGGACAGCATTTTCCAAACCATCAGTACAATTATGTATGGCAAAATAATAATTTGGTTTATTGATTATTAAGTTTATTTTAAAAGTCTTTATGTTAAAATATCATTAAATGTTCAATGTTGTTATAGTAATATACCTAACTATTGGACATAGTGGAATACTAATCCTTAACATTCAAGTTTTAATACGTCAGTAGTATAACTAAGTACTTCCTTTTTTAAATATTGAAAGCTTAGAATTGAATTTGGACATAGTGGAATACTAATCCTTAACATTCAAGTTTTAATACGTCAGTAGTATAACTAAGTACTTCCTTTTTTAAATATTGAAAGCTTAGAATTGAATTTCTCAAATTTAAATGAACATTCAAAAAATATTGGAAATTCATATTATAAAATAATTATTATAGCCCCACACATATGTGCTCTCCCATATCATTGATTTTAGAGGCCTTTTTAAATTAAGCATGTTATGTATCGTGAATTATTTTATTATCATATGTCCTATAATAATAAATCTTAATACAACTTGCTAAAGAATACTATTCAACAAGAAATCTCTGAACATTAATTCTCTATAAATCTATATCTTCTCTATAAATTCCCATTTTTGTTGCTTAAATCTCTTACTATCTTTTCTCTTTAATTGGTTTTATCAGGCATAGTTCCACTTAGCTGAACATATGTGAACCTCCAGAATGTTAACTGCACTAGACATCTCTTAATTACTTGAATTACTTGAGTGTTTATGAGCATTTATATTATCACTTGCCTGCATTGATGAACCAGTTTTCTGCCACTGATCACAAACCAGCTGATGGGCAGAGACCACTTCAGGAAGCAGGTGTAGAAGTGGGAAGCAAGCTGTCAGTCTATGTGAAGAGGTGAAACTGAGGTGGTGAGTCTTGCCAGTTCACTCCCACGAGCTGAGATAGTGAACGGGAAACTGCACCTCCACACACTTCACCCAAGAAACACTACTGTGGAACATTGTTTATTACTGCAACATAACTATTAATACTGGTCTAAAGCATAGCTATGTTGTGGTTAACTGTTTTTGTTCTACTTTTAGAGCGCTATATTTTGCAACTTACTCCAAGTCCAAAGAAATTATGAATAACATATTTGAGCCAGATTCTACTCAAGTACATATGACCTCAGCTGGAGTGGCAGGTAAGGATTTTTGAATTCCTGCTTTAATCTATTGAAAAGCTATTAATGAAATGGCTGCAATAATAAATGAAACCTAAAGAAGTAATGGAAATAGTTCAGAATATAATGAAGATACAATGACTAAAATACTGTATATGAAAATCTACTGATTGTGTATGAATGCTTTCTACAATCATTAATAGAAGATTGAGTTAGAAAGTATTTTATTTTCTTCATAACCCCCAAGTTAGTGAATCAGGTAGACACAGTTTGTAGGAGTATTCAGGGATTTGGAGTAAGGGAAATGGTGATTTGTAGCATGCAGGAGCATTATACGTATTTCCATTAACTCTATAAAGAAGCTGCATTATTTCATGGGCTTACAAAAGAGTAGCCATATAATTGCAGAGAAATATGCTCACTTATGTATGCTCCAGTGCACCATTTCCCTTTGAATCTTGATCAGTGCATAGTCCTGTCAAGCTAAGCAAATTTTATGTGGAATAAAGGAGCACCTCTTTTTTTCCTTTTCATTGACAGACTTTATATTGCAAACTTCTTCCTCTGATAAGTCACCTGCAATATCTTCTTTGTGCACCAGCTTGTATCAGATAAATCCTCAAAGCTCATTGCCTTCATAAGGGATAAGAAAACAAGCAAAATTTCTCCTGTTGGCATTGGGAGGGGGGAGAGGATATGAAAATGAGTTTCTTAGGAAACAGAGGAGATAAAAATGTACTCCAACATTATTTACATGTTTATTCAGAATTAATAATAGAATTCATGCAGTTGCAATTCTGTAATAGTTATCTCTGAGGCAGGTGATGAGAAAATGTAAGATTGTGCTATTCTAGAATAAATGTTTCAGTTAGTGGCTTACATAATGTGTTCTATATCAGAATCCTGACATGTTTGGGAGACAAAAATGCCCATATAATTAATAAGCATAGTTAATGTTCTGTCTTATTATTTTGGAGAATAGAGATTTACATTTTAAGTAGCTGTTTGTATACAGTCGTTTAAAGAATCCATGGGGAATGGGAAGGAAGTGCAAATGAGGATTCCTTTAAAATTGTACATTGATTTAGAGACTGTTACCTGTCTTCTTTTTTCCTCAGAAGTTACAAAGAAATTAAATTTCTCTTGATAAAGAACAGAGCAGCAGATGAAAATGGATTAGTAATTTTTTTAACAGAAAATGACCTGTGTATATACACATTAATAGTTGTTTGTAATTAGCTTAAACATTAATTACCTAGTTGTTATAATTATTGTTGTAAATATGCATATTTGCCCAGAATATGTAGAAAACTGATTTGTTGGCAAATTTCATATCTACATGCAAGTCCAGTTTGCCTATCCAGCAGTTTTTTTTATATTTATGATTTGAATTATGTATATGAAAATTCTGTTTTAGATCTATTTCTTTAATTATTTAGTTTTTCATAGCTGTCATTTTGAGGCAAATGTGCTTTGTTCTACATTTAATATAAAAGGCTACCTCTTTTGAATTTCTGTGATTCTGTTTTTATTACATGAAATTATCTTGTTCATGTGCTTACAAAAAATTGACTGGCAATAACATTCAGCTTTGCAGTTATATACCTTAAACTACATGGTTGGTGAAAGAGAATGTCCTGTGCATATTGGCTTTGAAGGTAGCTACTTTCCCTTTGAATTAGCATATTTTTAGGATGTTAGAAATCCCATAGATTGCATCTGAAATTTTTTTAGATAAATATAAAACTACTGACATATAATTTTGGCTGATTGGCTCATAACTAATACAAACAGCATATGAGAAAAATGCTAACCTTGTCATTTTTGCTTTTTAAAATGCTTACTTATTGTATTAAGTTAAACTATTAACAATTCTGCCTGCAAGATACATTTTAGTTTACATTTACTAGTACAATTAATATGTCTTAAGGAAGAAATACTATATTAGACTTTCTGCATACAAATATATTTTAAAATCTTTCACAGAGTATGATTTTTTTCTTAACTTTCTCAATACTTTTTTTGGTAATTTTTAATTGTTTTTTTAAATATTGTTTAATGTATTAAATCATACAAGTAATAATTTTTACAAAAGCTAAATAAATTTATCAAAGCCTAATTATTACATGTTTAGATAACATGTATGTTAACATAACTAGTATGTGTTAATATTTTGTTATCCAGTAAGAAATACTTCGTTAGACATTTTGTTATGGATATCAGTGCATTCTTGGTGAACAGACTAATGTAGATTGACTATTCAGACAAGTGTGATGTTACACATCCAGAAAAATCTTGAACATCTATTCTGATCCCATTACAGAAGGACTAATATTGTTACAGACTCTAGTTGTTTTAATGGTGTTCTATGTAAGCAGCCCAACTATAACATTGCCAGATACAGATGTATGCCAAGTACAGATAACATTCTGCCACCATAGTAAAACTGTATGCGTAAAGTTTCTGTACCCCATTTCCTGTGGATGGGTAACAGGAACAGCATTATCATTTAAATACCTATTCCACAAATTAACAAAGGTATTGTATTGATCTATTCCTGATCAATACAATACCTTTGTTAATTTGTTGGATATGATATTACAGGTGTTGTGTGATACAATTCTTTGCAAATTATTTAAAAAAATACTGGATTAGATTATTTCCAGATAGTGTTGGCCATAAATATAAAATGTATGCTTTAAAGCTTTTGTTTTCTGAGAAGATATTCTTACACCAATTCTAATATGAAACAACAAAAATTATATGAAGAACTGTCTAATTTTGTAATTCATTGGCTTTTCCCACGAGTCGTCTTCTTGATGAATTTTATATAGCAACAGCAGAATTTACAGTTTTGAATTTAAAAAATCCTTTCACAATAAATCTGCTTTCTGACATATTGGTTTAAACATCTGTTTTGAAAAAAGAAAATAAATAGGTGGACTATGATTTTTCTCATTTTTTCCTCATTGTTAATGCTTTTAATAAAGCTCAAAGCCAGCTTGATCTGTAGTAGCAAAGTTCAGGGTTGACTTCATATTCAAAGTGACATTTATCTCAGCATTATATTATTTCTGATGACAAGGTTAGCATTTTAAATTATTTTTAAAACAAAGCCAAAGCAATACTTTGTGTTTCTTTAAAGTTCATAGGTAAGTATTTTATAAAATGGTTAAATTGCTGCAGATGGCAAAAATTTCAGTACTCAGTGCATTTTACAAAATCCTTTTTTTAAATATTTGTGGCCTGTATTCTTTTTTTATTTTTTTACTGTTCTAAACTTTTAAAAATTAGATCTCACCTTTTATTAAGTCACAAACCCTTCCAATGGGATTCAGTTTTGTCACATGTATCTGATGAGGTCACTGCTTGTTGTTATGATACAGAAAAGCCTGTGTCTATTTTAGGCATTTACTGTACATTTCTCCCGTGAAAGAGTGAGATCGTGTCATCTCATGTTCCCCATCCGCAGGTCACTTCCTGCAGAAATATGGACTAACTTAAACCTCGTGAGTACTGAACTGAGCATCTCTTGCAGCCTCTAGAGTAAGAACCAGAGTTTGGGTTTGTAACCACTCTTAAAGAAACAACCTAAGGGGAATCTTTATTTCTGAATTCCAGTTGCTTATATTGTTCACTCAGCTGTTTCTTTCGTTCAGTTTGGGGAGAGGTAGAAAACCTTTGAATCAACTGCTATAAAATTAACCTTATTTGTTTAGTAAGCTCTCTTTTTGATAATACGCAGAATTTACACAGAAATTTCAAAGTAGTTATTTACAACTGCATGTAATACCATTGCAGTTAATTGAATTCATTGATCAGAGCCTTTTTTCCTTTAAAAACAGCTTAGCATTACTTGGGTTCATATTGATTTATCAATTCAGTTTATTTCACAAAGTCAGCACAGATTATTCCTGGGATCTTGAGATGTTTTAATTGAAACATGGGATATTTTTTCCTCTAAAAATCATCCGATGTATACTTGCTATTTGCCGTAGTCAGAGTTTTCAGCCAATAGCTTTCAGAATTAAATAAGTTCACAGTACAGTCCTATGCATATCTGCTCAGAAGTAAGTTTTATTGAGAGCCTTTTTCCTGGGATTTATAGGATATTAGTCTCAAACCATAAATTAAAATTGTAATTCTACATATATTTGTCATTTTTAAATTATTTAAAATCATTTTCTGCACACATTTCAGAGTACAAATAGTCATTTTTAAAATATTAAAAAGCCATTTTTAAAATATTAAAACCCATATGTCCATATTAAAGATACCCAAGTAGAGAGACTAATTTACTAAGAACCAGAAGAAATTTAACATTAATAGGGATAAGTTCAAATAATTAATATCTTTTTATTGTGAAATAAAATTTAAGCTTAAAATATATTATGCTGTTTTATGTTATATTTCCCAAGATAGAAGTAATTATTGTAAAATTAGAATCTAATGTTTAAACATAATAGCAGGAAAATAATTTTGTTTGTTGTAGAGAAACTTCCAAGTCAAATGGGAATAAAAAGTGCAGTAGAGCTTCAAACTTTTTGAAGGAAAAACTCATGAAAGAGGTGAAATAATAAACTTTTTAAAAATTATAACATTGGGAGAATGAGAATGTTACTGATTTATTTGAAGCATTCTAAGATAATTTTATAAATAAGAAAGTAATTAAAATGCTTGCGCTCAAAACCATGATTTTTTAAAAAATTGTATGGTTTTTTAAAAAATAGATTAATTTCAAAATTGTTTGGTCATTTTATTTATACTTTTTATAAATAATACATCATTGAATGGGACTTCCTTCTGAATAGACATATATAGGATTGTGCTGTTGTCTAAATATAATTTTTATGCTGTGAACAATTGTAGAAATTATATAGAAGCTCTATATATGACATTAGCAAATCAAGTTTCTACATTCTCTGGTTTGGAATGTGCACAAAATCTTGAAAAAGATAACCCGATACTGACTCTAAGATCCTTATATCCTTTTTCTTTAGGAAGAAAGTAGGATTTGTGATAGCAAGAATAGTGGAATTCTTTCCAATAAAGAAATGGGTGGTCAGAAACTAGTAAAATGTATTCTCCTTTCTATGTCACCTTACAAATGTTGCATTTTATATTAATCTTGTAACTGAACAGCTATTTAAAACTGCCCTTTCAGCCTTCTGCTTTCCGTGTTTTGTGATTCTGCAGTGGGTGAGATAAACTTTTATCTAGTAGTCTCAGCAATATCATCTTACTGGAACTTTGAATAGTTGTTATCTTGCCTGCTTAATAGGTCACATTATACAAATATTCACATTCTAATAATTTGTTTTTCTGTGTATGAGAATTTCTGTGGCCCACTTTGAATGTTAAATAGTAGCTGCTGGCATAAATTGTATGATATCCAACTTCTTTTTTATCAAATATTTCAAGCATTTATATAGAGGAAGTTGTCCGACTTGTTTAGTTAGCATATTTTTATGTTCTGCTTTGAATTTTCAATGTATAAAGCAAATTCACAGAGAATAATTTATTGATGTGGTTTAATGTTATTTGCAATTTACTTTTATGGATTCTATTTAGATTTAGCTGGCCTTGTTTCAAACTGAGGGACAGGTGCCAAATGAAATTTATATGAATAGAATGGTACAAGCTGAGTTAAATGTAACAAATGCATTTTTGAAATCATGCAGAGTATTTTTTGCCTTGTGGACTTTTAGTAATAAAATGTTGGCAGATAATTATTTCTGAATTTTTACAATAAACATAGTACAAGTCACTTTATATCTTCTTGCTGTGTATGTTGTAGTTTAGCCTATTGTTGCCATGATGTTAGAAAAAATAATTTTTTCTTTAATTGTTTGTTTAGGTTTTACTGCAATCACCATAACTAATCCAATTTGGTTAGTAAAGACACGATTACAACTTGATGCAAGGTAAAATCTCAAATGATCTTTTGAAAATATAAGTAGATCAGTATGTATAAAATTGGTCAAAAGTTTCATTATAAAAAGTTAATGTAAGGAACCAATAAGATTCCATCATTAACTACTGTCCTATGTCTGTTTTAAAATGAACCTGTTGACTTGCTGACAATTGATACATCTTTTTTACTTCAGTATTTCAAAAACACACATTTCATGTGCCTAAAACGTTTATTTTCAGTATCTAGTTTATATTATCTACATAATAGAAGAGATTCTAGATTCTAGAATGTACATCGACAATATTGATAACTGAAGCTGTAAAATGTAACTGGGTATCATCAGACCTTTTACTACATGGACTAGAAATATCATCTGTATGAGTTAAGATATATTTTAATCCTTTTAATGCGAATCATAATTTTTTTAGATCTATAAATGCTCTGAGTTCTTATTTTTTTATTTTGTGGTTCTATGAACATATATTAGCAAGAAACCTGAGGCAAATTGTTGATTGGCAATGATTTGGATCATAGAACTTTTCAATAATACATGTTATAGTGGCTTCTTAACAGTCTAAATGGCCTGGAAAAAATATTGAGAGCAGTAATCTTAAGTCTGCAATTCAAACAAAGGTTCCGAAATAGCAACTTTTCTGCTTATGTTTTGTCTTAGTAGGCTATGTGACTTTAGGTCTGCCCCTCTATGTCTTAGTTCCAAACATAGAGCTAAAAAAACTTCAAGGACTAATCCAGGCAATCACTAGGAGCCAAGACTGACTTGAAGGCACACAAATAAAATACTGACTTTAAAGAAGGATTATCTTAAATGGAAGAATTTTGATTCAAAATGCATCAGTCATAAGGCTTTCACTTGTAATACTGGCAACTTGATGAATAAATAACATGGTTCAAGAAGCCTTTCTTACATATTTATCTGAGCATCCAGACATATAGAACTAAGATTGAAATGTTAGTCTTGATTGATATCATATATGTGTCTATCAGAATTAAAGAATATAAAAAGCTATGCGAACATGGCCAAATTTTGGGGACTTGGCAACATAGCTGCATTAGAACTATTTGCAGTGTCCAGTGGTCACAAGATCGAGTTTTACAAAAGTTTTGCCAACAATTAGCACTTACAGGTTTTTGCAAAATCATACCCATTGCGAATCTTTGGTTTGAAATAGTTTGACCACAGCATTCACTTAATGTTCGCTGCAGGAAAGTCATAAAATCAAGTCAGTCATATGACCAATCCATTTTACCAACATTGTGGAAGGACTCCATTATGGTAATAAGTTAAGAACTACCAGTAAACAGTAGTCCTGTGCCTTGAAACACATTGAGGCATTTAGTTCTAGTTGAACTATTTAATCAGGGTTAATGTAGTCAAGCTATTGTATGTAGGTGAAAGGCTGTATCTTTTCTTTGATCATTGATAATGTATAAATGATTGCATGAAACAATATGCAAATGTGAGGACTTTGAAAGCTTTGGGCCACTTTGCTGCATGGAGTATGTTATGCTGATTCTTGGTAGAATATTATAAACTATTCAGATTTGAAATAATTTTTATTTTTGTTTTGTTTTCCATTTTAGGAATCGTGGAGAAAGGCGGATGAATGCTTTTGAATGTGTACGCAAAGTTTATCGGTCAGATGGAATTAAAGGTTTTTACCGAGGGATGTCTGCCTCTTACGCAGGCATATCAGAGACTGTTATTCATTTTGTTATTTATGAGAATATTAAACAAAAAATCTTGGAATGTAATTCTGCTTCTGGGATGGATAAAGAGGATGAGCCTGTCAAAAAAGCATCTGATTTTGTTAGTATGATGGCAGCTGCAGCCACTTCCAAAACCTGTGCTACATCTATAGCCTATCCACATGGTAAGGATCATTTGCTTAGAACAAAATAAGTTAGCATCACAGTCCATATATTGCAATAAATCATAGACTATGTTAAAGTTTTTTGGGTTAAATGATGACCATATTCATCTTCTTTAAAACATGCAGTTTTCAGAAAACTGATGAAAATGCTAGCCAGACATAATTAATAAAAAATATTCATCACTGATATTTCTAAAACATTATAAACCAAAAACAATAAAATACAATTAATAAGTCATACAAGAAATATACCTTTAACGCAGTTAAAAGTCATTATTCCGGTGTAATGCAGACATTTAAATATATATGGTCAGGACAAGAATATCTTTACCTAGTTTCTGAAAAAGACAAAATGCAAGTAACAGGTTTTATTTCTTGGAAAGATCATTTCAAAGAGAGGTAGCCAAAATGAGAATGATCTCTGTCTTGTAAAGTTTAAGAAGATATTTGAACAAGGACCTGAACAAGGATCAGGTAGCCTAGGCAAAATAGTTAAAGCTATTACTTGAAATACTCTTGATTTATTTTAATTGCAAGTCATTCAAGACTTTGAGCATCACTATGGATCTTGGCCCAAACTCTGATGAAAATATGCTGATCACTTAGAAAAGTATTATAATTGGATGAAGGAAAGAAGTATTATATTGCTGTCAGCCAATCTAAGATGGTAAATGGCTTTAATTATTTTGGACCTGATGGATCAAATTCACAGTCTGTTGCTGTCAGCCAATCTAAGATGGTAAATGGCTTTAATTATTTTGGACCTGATGGATCAAATTCACAGTCTGTTGGCCATTACTTTACATGCTTTGTTCCTGGAGAAAGCAGTATTGATTAAAGCATACATGCAGCTAAAGGTTGTTGAATGTGGATTGAATCAAACAGAGATGAAATTTGTTTTCCTGGTCTTTGTATAGTGATTACTTATGAATATTGCTTAGAAATTGAGATTTTTATATAAAATACAGTTATCAAATATGACACTTTCTCCTTTTTCTTTAATGCAGAGGTTGTACGAACAAGACTACGAGAAGAAGGAACAAAGTACCGATCCTTTTTCCAGACGCTGTCATTGCTTATGCAAGAAGAAGGCTATAGTTCTTTCTACCGTGGCCTAGCCACACATTTAATAAGACAAATACCAAACACGGCTATAATGATGACTACCTATGAAGTGGTAGTCTACTTGCTCAATAGACAGCAGCACTACTATCTGACTATAGGGAAATGAAAGACCAAAAATTTGCAACGGACCATAAACATTCTGAATGACAGAGAGCAGCTATACACACACACACACATATATATATATCATCCAGGTATATCACCCATATATCAACTATATCCATATGTGGACAAAGTGGAAGACTTGATAGGCAATCATTTACACTTCTCCTGGCTTGTTATATGGTATTTCTTGCAAGTTGTTCTTGAGGACTGCATTTAATATGTCATACTTCAGTTGCAATTTCCTCTTAACATGTTAACTTTTTTACTTCTATGCAGCGAGCAGAGAAGGCTTGGTGTAAGGAAGTTTTAACTTTTTAGTGCAAGGTGTAAATCCATTACTGGCTGTAGAGTTATGTTCTCCTAAAGCAGTTTGAAGGCTATGTCAGGATAAACCTGATTCATGCTCGTATCCAAAAGTCCATTTTGCAATTGAAATAAAATGAAAGGTGAAGATTTACATTAAGCTTCCCATTTTACTACCTCAGTGGGTTTCAGGAGCAAATGTAAATCCCTAAATCCCTCTAAAAACATAGAAATCTTCATTTGTATAAATGGGGGCAGGACAGAAAGAACAAAATTCTAATAATTTTAACAACTAACCCTGGGATTCAGTGTGCTGTAGGTGCATATTTTAATAACCTACTTATTTTTGCTGTACAAATAGAAGAATGTTAAGATCTGCGTAAGATTTACTTCTGTTCTCCTGTATGAATCCTATTAGATGAATCCTGATGAATCCTAGTAGGACTTAAAAGTATTTCTAGATTGTGTTATTTTGAACCGAGAATGAACCAACCCTTGAATAGTGGCAAATAATTTAATAATTCAGCATTATGTTAGACTTCAGCAAACTGAATTATTGTAAGAGTTACTTCACCTGAGCTAAAATCTGCATCAACTAAATGCCAAACTTCACTATACTTCAAGACCGTATCAAAAAAAAATGCTAATGGAATTAACTGAAGAAATAACATTTTATTATTTGCTTAATTTCTGGTGCATTGTGCAGAACTTGAAAAATGAATGTTTCTTTTTTTCCCCCTCAAAGTATAATCCTTAAAATTTATTTTAACATTTATACAATATCATTTGCTATAATTTAATAGTTGGTTTTCACTAAGGCATAGTAACTTTGTTGTCTTTAACAAACACTATTCACAGTATTACAAGTAACCTGTTTTAGTGTTATATAATTAATATAAAAATCCTACATTCAGTTTTTTAACTACAGCCCTTCTGTTCCAAGCAAATTTTCTGCCTATGTATTACTGTTTTCTAATTGAATATTTGCATATTTTTATTTGCAAATTTAGCTAGTGATACCAAGAAACAAGCTTGTGAATTCATTTGCGGGTATTTAGTTCAAAGAAAATATTCTAAAAATGTGTATCATTAGTGCATTTGATTTTTTTATTTAAGAAAATTAAAAAATTGTAATGGTGCAATCCTACTCTTGCCTATTCAGAAGTTACAAAGAATGTAGAAAGATTTATTTCTAAGTCAGTTGTTTCTAAATAGAATTATAGCTGAAAGGCAACTGGCTTAAATCATGGTTAGTTCCCTTTATTGTATATATTTTGTTACTGTATAATACAGAGAAGTGAAACATAGGGGCACGAGGAAGGCGTAAAATTTATTTCTATAAATTGTTCAATTTTTTTATTGCAGGCTACTTTAAAATATTGCAGGGATACTGAGAATATAGCCAACTGTCAAAATAGTTTCTCCCAGGCTATTCTGTAGCAGATATGTTTCCTATAGACTTGCAATATTTAGTTTGATGGTTGTATTAAAATGTACCTCTTGTTACAAATCATTCTGCTGGACCTTTTTAGCAGAAAATAATTTTCTTTAATGAGACTGATCTTGTTATGCATGTAGTCCTTGATTTACGAACACATTTGGGGCTGAAATTTTGATTGCTAACCAAAGTTATTAAGCAAATCTGGCTTCTCCCATTGACTTACTTATTGGAAGCTTGCTAGGGGGTTGCAAATCATGATCACACGACTGTAGGATACTGCCTCTGTTGTAAATGTGAGCCTGTTACCAAGTGCTCAAATTGTGATCAGGTGACTTGCACGGATGATGTGATGTTGTAAATTCAAGGACATACTATAAATCATTTTTTTCAGCACCATTGTAACTTCAAACTATCATTAAATGAATGGTCATAAGTTGAGGACTACCTGTATTAATATACATGACACATACAATTATTAGTTGAAGATGAATGAAGAAAACTTATCATTAAAGGAATGGATTCCCCAACAAATTTCTTGCTTGTAAATATTACTGACAAAGATGTTATTAGTAGTAAACAATAGGCTATACATGTTTGCTGTCTTAAATGATAAAATTGAGTAATATTACTTTGTTATGAAGAAATTTCTAGAAAAATAGACTTCATGTATTTCTATTTCTACACTCAGGTAGATTCAGATAACCAAGTCCCCCTCCCCTCCAAATGTGCAATCACCATTAACACCATATGATAGCATTCCAACAACAATCGCCAAAGGTGATGAGTCAGAGAACTTTGGGGCAAGCTTAAAATGTAGGTAAAATCATGATTACTTACTAACTCTAATCTGACAAGTCTTTAAAAATGAATATTTCAAAATCATAAGCTGTTCTAAGCATGCCAGCTTTATGAACCCACATTTCTATTGTTCATTATAAAGTAGATCCCACTCAGTACATGATCATGCGGTATTCTGATCGTGCAGTTGCTTAAGGCACATATGACTTTGCTAGATGAACAAAGTCTCTTAGCTAGCATTTATTTGGGCATAATTCAAAACAATATAAACTTCTTTGGTAAAATTTTTATACTCTGCCTTCAGAAAAATGCATTTATGATGGATATATTAATTAGGGATGTGATGAAGTAATAAAGTCATCCTAAGTATTTTTACTGTCATTGTCATTTCATATATGCTGTGACATGAGTGGTGGAATATCTAGGTTCAAAGGAGAAATAGTTATATCTGTGTGTGTGTATGTATGTTGTGCTTGTCAGCAATTCTTTATAAACAACGTCATTGTTCCCTTCTTAAGGCAGTGACTACAGAATCCCAGAAAAAATTACATTAATTTAACAAGGTATGGACAATTGTAACTTTCTTTTTGCATCCTGATTCCTTGTAGTTTTTTTTAATTAGTGCATTACTTGCTAAACATGAATCTGAAAGGTACTTGTTTGCTTTAGTCCAGCATTTCTCAACTTCTACAGTTTTAAGATATGTGGACTTCAACTCCCAGGATTCCCAAGCCAACATGTTGGTTGGAGAACTCTGATCAGTGAAATCTTTACATCTTAAAAGTTGCTGAGATTGGCAAACACTCCTTTAATTCAAGATTAATGTTGATGACCTTTAGCAAAATTGCCTTAATGAGCTATCCTAGCTTCAGCCTGAATTCAGATTAGGGACCTCAGGGGAGGTTAAAAGAAGAAGCAGAAACCTAATGGAATATTTTCAGAAAGCTCCCTAAGTACCATTTCCCACCAAAGGAATGTTGATACCCAGTGCCCACTTGGGTTGAAATAAAAAACAAAAAAATTAACAAAAATATTAGTGGATTGCCCCACATTTTTTTGATAGTTTGAAGAAAAGACTATACATTTTCCATGTACTAGTCTTTTATGGCTTTTGATATTTGCATCCAGCTTTGAATTTATAAGATGAACTAATAGAATTACCCATTTTTCTCTAGGCATATACAATTTGGTTAAATAATTACATAACATGAACATAATTTAATCCTCAGTTGTGTAGTTATGTTCCTGTTTATCTTTTTGAATGAAATAATGGATTTAAAACTTCAAAAGAGGATTTTTCCATGTGCATAATATACTTTGGAACTTTGTTTTATTCTTCTGAAAAATGACAAGACAGACACAAACAGTAAAATAAAAAGGCGTCTGGTAGCATCTTTAGCTGACAAAAGTGTATTAAAAGGCATACATGTTTGTGACTTATAAATGAGCTCGTTCTACTAGACATCTGGTTTTTTGCTGCAGTAGATACCATAAATACAACTCTCTTAATAAAACAAATTTAACCAGAAGGTGGCACTACAGTAATGCCAGTGCCAGAAGTGTATCTGTATGGATGTGTATATTCATATCTATTATTGTGTAGCACAGAAACAAGCCATAGTAGATTATGTAATAAAACTTGCACTTGCCAGATTTTTATTACTCTGTGTAAAATGACATTAAATCAAGGAATAACTTGTAGGTTTCTTATATAATGTTATTATCTAATTGTAAGCAAAGTTTTGTTAAGCATACATAAATCTTTGACTCAAATTTGACACTTTAAATGATAAAAAAGCTAATGTGACATTTTCAGTAGGCTGGTTATCAATCTAAAATTTTATATGAAAGGGTTATTATTCCACCATGCAAAAAAAAAGTTTGAGATTGTATGTGAGGTACTTAGTAATCTGCTTTACTTATACCTAGTAGGTTTCCAATGCTTTCCTTTCTTCTCAAAAAGCATAAAATGTACTTATTAAAAGTAATTTATCATTGAAATGTAGTTCTATGACTATCTAACACTATAATTTTAGAACTGATGGAAGATATTGTGACCTCTCATTTTTAACTCTCTCAAATCTGTATGATATAACTGCAGCCTGTAATCTGTAGATTATTTTGTTTTTATTAGGTTTTATAAATTCTACAATCTAGCAGAATACTGATGATGTGTGCCTATATACGTTTGCTACTTCAGAATTCAAATTTTTATCTTTTGATAAATACCTGAAGTCCAATTTCAGGTTTTTATTTTATGTACAGAAAGCTTGCATACCCTTTATATGTGAAAGTGGTTTTTTGTAGAGCTCTTGTTTACAAAGTCAAACATTCTACCACTCCTACAAACTTTCATTTTTAATTTCATACCATATTTTTGGCTGTCAAATATGTGCTTTAAATACTTTTTGTATTTATGCCGCAATGGCAACATTTTGTTTGGACTGCTCAAAACTTCAAAATAAAATAGAGTTTATTCAAACCAATCAGACTTCATTAACTTTTTTAAAACACAAAGAAAAGGGTGTTTCAAATGAAAAAAAAGTGTGATTGTTTAAATTATCAGAGTGGGAGAAAAAACATTGGCGTTGGAATGAAGTTCACAACATACAAGAAAGACTTTATATAAAATGTGCTTTAGGGTAGTATATTTTACCATAATACTTTTTCTTCAGGTCTTGTTTCTTTATGAATAAATGTCTCCTTTTCTTCTAAACCAGTATTTCTCAATCTTAGCCATGTTAAGATGGATGAACATCAACTCCCAAAATTTCTCAGTCAGCTTGTTGAAGTCTCCACATATTAAAGGTGCTGCAGTTGAGCTACACCCTGCTTGATAACAAACAATATTTTAGGATTTCAAGATTTTATCTAGATGGAAGGATAACACTTGGATTCCAGATTTACCAATTATAAAAAAGATGGGAGACCATAACATAAATGTATCTGAGTATCATAAGTAACAAGCACCAGAATTACTGTACCAGATACTCCTGTGGGACTATCATCTGTACCAGATATACAGCAATCACTAATCTGTATAGAATTTATAACAAGTTTTCCAATATCAAGACAAGATCTGAAATTCAGTGGCAGTTCTTATCCTTTGTGCACAGAAGATGCCAGGATTAATTCCACAAAGAAAACGGAAATATTCTAGTCTGAAATTACAGAGAGCTCTGCCAGCCACTGTAAACAATACTGAGCTACAAAGGCCAATAATCTGACTCAGCATAAGGTCGGCTCCCATGTTCCACATTAGAACATTGTACCCTTTTCCTGACAAGTGAGTTGAGAAATAGCTGAAAATCAGTGTTGCAAGAGTACAGTACTAAAACTCTTTCTGACGTAGCATATAATAAACAAGAACACATGCAAGAAAAACAAGTTTTAGAGTGATGCTTGTTAGGAGTGGAAATCATAGTCTACATTATGGTTTTGCATTTCCTTTTCCTTTACAATTGCTGCAAATATCCAATTAATTAAAAATTATACAAATGATTTTCTAATTAGAAAAAGGGAATATCAAGTACTACATGCAGACTATTTCATGTACCATTCTAGGTAGCAGTTATAGATGCATGCTTCAATTTGTAAGTGTAGCTGATATACTATTAATTTGATAGTTTGGGGAGCATTTCATTTCCTGCTGTCTGATATTCTACATGATAATCTGGAGTATTCTATAAATAGAATAGAATTGGATAATTTTACATTATTTCCTTACAGCACCTTACATAATCAGAGGGGACAACTGTATTCTGTTTCCATAGAATATAGGAACTTGATCACTGGATCATTATTTTACATTCCCATGTTAAAATGAAATATTTTTACAAATGTCTAATATTTTATTGCTGCCAAAAATGGCAACTAAGTTTGAATTCATTCCATGGAGAATGTCATGATTTTAGACCACTTATGGTATAACTAGATGGCTGTCATTTTTGGCCCGCTTGGTTATCATAATAGATCATTTATATTGGAAATAATTTAAACCATATTCTCCAATCTTGAAGCATATCTAGTGTCTGCCTTAGTAGAAATCCCTTAAGCAACTTGGGAGTAATTCAATCCCTGAAAAGGCTTGGAAGTATTTATATTAGGAAATAAATCCCTTACAATATTTTATTATTATACATATGTTATAGGTCTGGAAAAGAGAGACATGGGGGAATGATGAATTTGTGGTTTAAGCCAATACCTGAAAACAGCTGCATAAAATTGTCATGAAAATTTACTTCCCTGGGAAAAAACCTACACAACTGCCTGTTGAGATAGTGATCGTTAAAAATAAGAATAATTATATTGTATTTGACTATCCATCAATGTGATTCCTTTCAAAAAGCTATGGAAATGCAAGCAGTTTAGTTAAAAAATCATATCACTTACAAACAGGAAAAATCAGCCAAGTTCAAAAAATGGAGAGAGAGGGAGGGAGGGAGGGAGAGAGAGAGAGAGAGAGATGGGTTGTAGAACATGAAAATGTGGCAAATAGTAACAGTGCAATATTTACTGAATTTATAAATATGAAATGTATAAAAACTGAACCATATTGCTATTCCACAATTCTCAGTAAGATGCAAATAGGTTATGGGAAGACTGAGGGTAGGTGTGGTAGTCTCCCATGGAAAGAATGAGACACAAGCATGTGTACTCGGGATGGGAGTCCAGAGTAAATTCCAGTGCTCCCTTTTATTGAGATTTTAGTACATAGTAAGCATAATCACAATGTGGATTACAATAATTAGATATAGTACACAGACTTGTTTACAGTTGTCTGAGCTGCTTAATTGTTTCTAGTGTTTGCTTTTAATTTCCTTGCTTTATCTCAGTGACCTTTAGGCAGACATGTATGTATAAGGTCTTAGACTAATCATTACCCAATACCCAAGTCAAAGTTTATTCCCACAGGTAGGAAAGTACTTTTTTCCCTGAAGTAGAGAAGAGATGCATAAGATACTGACTTCAAAGCTTCTAATGACTGAATTCATTATTTTCTCCAGGCTGTCAAGTGAATTGGGGGATCTTCTGCATACAACATACTTACTAGCTGCCATGCATAGCTTTGTACTACCATCATCTTGCCTAAACTAGTTTTTCCTAATATTTTTTTTTCTAATTTTGGTTCATTTCCTTTTTAAAGTTCAAATAGTTCCTCTTATTTTCTGCTCTCAAAAGCTTTATTCCACAAATTCAAGTCTGAGAGGCTTCTAGGAATTAATACCTCCCTTGTGCCTTTAGAAAAAGGTCACCATGAACTGTATTAAAAACTATCCTATGTCCTACACTATAGTCCTGCTTACTTTACAAACAGAGTGTACAACAGGTTTGGCATAACCACTAGTTTGGCATTCATATAGTGAATATTTTATTGATAGTACTGTAATTTATTTTGGCTGATTTATATGTATTGTTTACTAATGTTAGTGTCTAGCAGCTGAATTGTTACTTTAATTAAACTGTTGATATATTTTGTTTTAAGAATTATTTTACTGGTTTATCTGACATGATTGCTTTGAATACCCAGTTAAATTATCTTAGAATTTTGCAAATGTGCTACATGGCCTGAAATCAATGTATGTCTCAAACGTTGACAAACGTTGCTGTTTTATGTCGGTTAAACAGAACCACCCAGTTATTAACTTAATTTATTTACACAGTTTATAAAATAAGTGCAGCAATAAATGTTTTAATGTTAAAACCTCATTAAAAGCTGCATTGAGGTTCAAGTATAGCAAAATAAGACATTAATTGACCCAAAGGTGCTTTTTTAAGAGGCAACTTTCTGGTTC